TTATAATATTTAAATAATTATTAATAGAGTTATATTAAAAAAACCAATTCTAAAAAATTATGACTCACACTGTATATTAAAATTTCAAATAAAATTATTATATACATTTTTATATAATAATAAATTTAAGATGTGCAATACTTTTGTTTATATAGTATATATGATATTACAATTATATTAAATATCTTCTATAATGTTAAACTATTTAATACTAACCTATCTTACTTTTAATGCTTTAGTAATACTAGTAACATTTTTAAAATGGATTCATATTTTTGAAAAAGATCTATCTAAAGGATAAAAATCTTATTACTAGTTTTAAATCATCTAACCTACTGGTCCAATTTTTTATATAAAGATAATAAATACTGTTGATTATTTCTTAAGTTACCTATTATATTACATCTCTTTATACCTATGTCAAGTGGCAGAGGGGCCGATAACATAATATATATACTTCTTAATAAATACTTCTAATATTGATCTACTGGTTAATACTAACTATTAAATCTAGGTATTCTTGTAACTAATTGGAGTATAACTTTTTAAGGATCATATAAGCCATATAAAGCAAGCTTTCAAGTTCCTTAATCTTTTAGTAGATATTCTATTTTATGGGACTGGTTGGCATAGACTATCAAATCTAGGAGTATAAATATTAAGCAGTATGTAATTTCTATATATATAAATTATTCGGAGTTAAGTTATATCATATAAGATATTAATATCGTTTAGTACTTTTTTCAAAATATTCTTATTTGACAATTGACAATAAGGGAATTGATAATTTGAAATTGGTTAAGATAAAGTATAGCTCAATCTGTATATTCAAATGTATAGATGGTTCTATATACCTTTTGTAAATGATTATCATAATACCATCTGGATAATCATTATATTACTACATTTTAATGGGAAATCACAATCTCAATATCTATTGGATTAGTATTTAAAATGACTTCTTATAAAAAACAGTATATGATTGATTATAATATCAGATATTATATTAATTCTATTCAATTATCTTCATATAGGATTGAACTGGTATTTTGTGATTTAACCTATAAAACATTAACTACTATATTATAGATCCATAAGTCTTTTTAATTTATATTTAATTTTTGTTTAAAAAAAAATAATTTATATATATTTTTATATAGTTTTTGTTTTTTGAATAAAAAATTTTAAAAAGTAAAATAAAAGAATAATTAATAAATTAAATAATTTTTAAAAAAAATATTAATATTAATATAATAAAATTTTTTTAATTAAAAAATTTAATTAACTTTATATTTTTTAAAATATAAATTTTTAAATATTTTTAATTAAATATTTATTTAATAATTATAAAAAATTTTAATTATAATAAAATATTTTATGGATTTTTTTATAACACACTATATACTGTATATATACAGTATATATATTAAAAATATAAAAAATTTGACTAAAGTTTTTTTATAAATTTTTATATAAAAATTAATATATAAATTGAAATTGAAAAAATATTTATAAAATTAAAAAAAAATTATTTTATAAAAATTATTTTATTTTTATTTTATAATATAATTTTTGATTAAATATAAATTTTTAATATATTTTTCATTAAATTTTAGATTTATTTATTTAATTAAAAATCAATTAATTAGTTTAAAATTAATTAAAATTATTTTTTACTTAATTTTGATTTTATTTTACAAATAAATGAATCAAATTAATTTTCAATAAATTTCAATAATATATTAATAAAAGTCTACTAAGTATTTTTTTTTATATATTGTTATTATTATATATTCAAATTTTTTTTTTATTTTTATTAAATATTTATTGAATTATAATTATAAATATAAATTAAAAAATTATCCAAAGACTTTTTAAACAAACTGTATATTGAGTTTTTTTATCTGAAAAGAACTGCTTTTATATAATTTTCTCTAGAATTTATATTTTTTCTTTTTTGATTATGTCTTCTGAAAGTTGTTTATTTTATTGTATTTCAGAAAATTTGTTGTTTTTTATTCAATTATTTGAAAGTATTTTTAAAGAAAAATATGTATTTAAAGAAATAATTTTTTTTAAAATGTTGTATATACTTGAAATCAAATATTCAAAAATATTCTTCGTATTAAATAAAGTAACTTATGTTTGTAAGTTTGAATTTACATATAAACTCATGTTTATTTATTTATTTTATAATAAATTAAATTTTAATATAAGATACATAGTAATATGTATAAATTTATTTATTTTCTTTAAAAATATTATAATTATATATATAATTATTTTTTCAAATAATTTTTGCATTGTATTTTAAATTATTGAGAAAATCTTTATAGATTTACTTCGTATCTAAAGTTGAAAAATTTACAAATCCATATTTTCTTGTCTGCTATTAATGACATCATTTCTTGTTAGGTGATAACTTCGAATTTTAACATCATCATTGCTAAATAAACAGGAATTATAAGCGTTATTCTGAATGCAGATGCTTAAAATAACGTGATTTGATCGCATAAATCAATGAGTAGATTAATACGTATACAAATTCTCAGGTGTTAAAAAGTCACATTCTCTTTGATTTCCCCTCGGCTTCGCAAAAAGCGGTTCCTACCCGGGAACAACAAATAATTGAAATAAAAAAGAATAATTCATATTACGGTAGAAGATGACTGTAGACATGGAAGACACAACTGTGTGGAACTTCATGTTAGAAGCGTTATATAAGGGGGCGGACAATATATTTCGGTGGCTTCCTGGTACGGAAGTAGACAGTAATGGGCAACCTTTAGAGCCACGAGAGTATCAGCCGGGGTTATGGAACTTTTTATACTCAAATCACTTATACCTGGCGATCTTTGTTGTAAGCGCTTGATTTTCAGCTATTAACTTTTATTGTTGCGACTTCAAATAAAAACTTTTTTCTTTTTTAATTTTCTAACCCTATCTCACGTAGAACGTTCTAAATAATAGAATAAATGCAATTGTTTCTCCCCGAAATCCGAGGCCGTTGCCAAAAACAACCCGGTTGCTAATTCGTTTACCATGTTTTTATCTAATGGCAAAGTCTGCACTCGTACTTTTATC